TGTGCGACTAAATTCATGTTCGTTTGCATGTCGTCTTGCAACGACTCAAATTTTCTTAGTTTTTAGTCACTAGTTTACGCGCAATCTACGACTAAAATCATGTTCGCTTACGTGTCGTTCGACTTGCTACGACTCAATTCTTTGTTGATTTTTTAGTAGCTAGTTTTCGGCGACCTGAATTGCAACCTGCGACTAGTTGCACGACATCAAAACGAACATAACATGCGACTTGCGACCAATCACAAGTCGCACAATACATAAACGAACAGAGCCAAAGTCTACGATTAAAAGAAAAAATGATCCCACGACAGCCAAATGAACAACATTTGGTTGTAGGTTGCTGCGACCTCGAAACGAACATGGCCTTTATACGTTATCTTACTCTAATCTTTATATGTTGGCTTACCTTAACCTTGTAGTTACTGTTGTGCGTTACCTTATTAATAAACTTGCCTTTATAGAACATTGAGCATCTTTCTCCGGCCCTTACTCTTTTGTTCCTTGTTCGTTCAGCCCAGGAGCTTGAGAAGGATCTACAGAGCCTAACAGCATAATCGCTCCCTGCAGAGAAAAAGCTAACCATGTTTGATAAATTATTCACTGCATATAATGACGCGAGGAACATCATACGCAGTGACTTGGTGAGTCATTTTACAAGAGATCCTCTTATTTTTATTGATTGGGTTCACCTAATAACGTTTTGATGATTTTTGAAACTATAGACAAGTTTGTTAGAGAGTCAGAGCGTCTGTTTTTTGGGTTTCTTTAGCTTTTGTGTCTTTACCACTTATTAGATTCTTTAGCTTTTGTCTCGAAGTATTCACTCAGTTCTTTCCAACTAAGAAAACTTGTCATAAACTTGGTTTGCACTCTTATGTTTTATTTTTTGGCCTCTTATGTTAAAACCTCAGGTGGAGAAATACCTGGTAGATAAGCTAGATGTGTATGAATCAACAGTTGGAGATGCAAACACAAAAACGGCTCCAAAGATTGAAAGGTTCCCACCTGCATTTCAATCGATACCTCGTCATCCAATCGTGCTAGACCTGGCTTACAGTTGCATAGAGTTCCCGGGTCTTGAAGAGAGGATGAAGAAAGGCAGGGGCAGGGCCGGCCCTGGATAATGCCTAGTGAAACATTTATTTCAGACCCCCAAAAATTTTGAAGAAATTACATGAGTATAGGCCCCAAAAAAAAATTTTAGGCCCCAAAAAAAATTTTTTATATAGAAATCGCCACAGGCCCCCAAAATCTCAGGGCCGACCCTGGGCAGGGGAGGTTTCATGAGCCGTTTTTTCAGATCAGGTTAAAAAAAAGAATCTCTAACTGATTCAGTGTCCTCTTTTGTTTTCAACCACACTCTGAAATTACTTTGTTACTGTTCTCTAGCTTCTGAAAAACCAAGCCAAATGCATAAGATTTTTAGTTATTTTTTCAGAGAATCACAGTTTATTAGACTGAGGATTACATTTTGCTCTTCCAACACTTGAAAATTTTGGAAATATATAGACATTTTATTGTTTTCTCTGTTTGCTGTATAAATGAAAAGGTCACTGGATGCATTGGAGAAATGTAGAAAGCCTGTTAAATCGCTTAACTTGGTTAAACAATGAGTGTATGTTTCTTAATTTTTTTGTTTAATATTAAGTGTCACTTTTTTTTTTTGTAAATTTATCTTTTTGTACCAAAAAAGTGTCATTCAATTTTATACATTAAATTCATCTTTTACCTTCTTAAATAACTAACAGATTTTTATTTTATTAATCTTGTATTAAATAAAGATATATTTAATCTAGTGAAAAGTGTCAGATTAACACTTATAATGAAATTGAAGGAGTATTAATTAATTAATTAACTTAGATAATTGTTGTATAATTTAAGTTTATAAGATTGACTAGGATCGGTTAAATATGGATCAGATTTTTTAGTTTCTCACACGTTTAGAAAGCCCCTCTCAGGAAGGAAGTCAACTACTTTGGGACCATTTATGTCTCTTGCCTAATTTAATCATCATAATCACCCCTGCCAACAACAATTTAATTTTATTGGCTATTGCAAATCACTAGTCTTTCAAGTGTATCATCACATATTAATTGTTGGATCATAATTCATAAAGCATTATCACATTTATTTTTAAATAGATTTCTGTTGAATAAAGACATATTAATATAAATATATAAATGACAGCCATGGAAGGTTTCAGATGTTTTGTTTGTACACGATCACCACAACATCAAAAAGAGTATTCTCATTTTGTTTTTGTGTTATTATTATTATTATTTTTTGTCCATCGCACGATCTTTCCCTTGTTTTCCGCCCATATTCTCCACTTCTCAATCCCCAAAAAAGCCTTTTCGATTTTCCAAAAAAGACAAAACACTTTTTGTTTTTGTTTGGTTTTTGTGTGTGGGAAAAAAAAAACACCGTTATTAGCTCTGTCCGCGTGGAGGAAGACGACGACGAAGAAGAAGAAGAAAGACGGAGGTGGATCGTGTGAAACAAAATGCAGTTCGCTAAGCTCGATGATTCGCCTATGTTTCGTCAACAGGTACTTTTTATTTTATTTTTAAATTTCTGTAAATCCGTTTCGATCGTCTATGCATCGATTAAATTGCTCAATAGACAGATAGTTAGGGGAAAAAATCTCTGTAATCTCTCGTCCTATTCTATGATCAAACAATTTTTTTAAAATTGAATACATTGTGGAAACATGGATGAAAGCAATGTATCAGGAAGTTGTAAAATTACAATGTAACATCCCGAGTTGTGATATATGGAAAAGCTTAAGAAGATTGATTTGGCTACCTATGTCACCAAATTGCACTTACCTTTTTCGGGAGCACATCCAGAGAGAATTAAGCGTGCTTGAGCTGGAGTAGTCAAAGGATGCGTGACCTATCGGGAAGTGATTTGCGATACCGTGAGGCCAAAGCACGGAGAAAGATCATGTGGTGATTGCAGGGTCAGTAAACATGACTCTAGAGCCTTGGAAAATTAAACGGACCGACCGTTGGAACGGGATGGGGCCCACGGGCCAAGAGAGCGGGCGGGCGTGGGTGACCCATTAGCCGTGGGTGGTCGGGGCCTTACATACAGTTTGATCCAATGTTCAAAAAATCGCTAAGCAGTAATTTGGCATTTTATAAGGGATTAGTGTTTAAGCGCCTAGACTGATTTAGAAGAATTGTTTCGATTTTTAGAATAATGATTTTATCTTATTTATGTGTTTTCATCCTTTTGTTGTGTGGATTGACTTGTAAATTGTAAGTCCTCTGTGTTTGAATCTGCAACTTAAAAGTTTAGTGGTGTCTTTGTTGTGTAACCAGATGCAATCTATGGAAGAGAGTGCAGATTTGCTGCGCATGAGATGCTTAAGATTCTACAAAGGATGCAGAAAATACACGTACGGCTCTTATTACAATCACTTAGAAGAATATATTATAGATTCTGAATTTTTCTCTTGGCTTATTATTGTTAGGGAGGGACTTGGAGAAGGGTATGATGCAGATATTGGCTTTGCAAATGCGCTTGAATCTTTCGGTGGTGGCCATAATGATCCTCTATGTGTTGCTTTTGGAGGTAACCTCTCTCTTGTTTCTCTTTAGCTCTTTCGTGCACACTAATCTCAAGGCAATGTGTTGTTTTTTTCTCAGGTCCTGTAATGACAAAATTTACAATTGCTCTACGAGAAATTGGGACATACAAGGAAGTTCTTCGTTCTCAGGTACTAACTAAGCTCCAATGTACTCTTTAGAAGAGGATGATGGTCTGCAAGTATCTCTGTACTTGGTTGAACTTGTCTCTTTTCTTGTTGGGAATCACTGAATGTATAGAGACACGTTTATTTTTGTTCGTCCTTAGATGTTACTGAAGAGATGCATAACTGTCCCATGATGTCTTGACAACACTTTTTCAGGTAGAACATATGCTGAATGACCGGTTGCTTCAGTTTGTGAATGTTGATGTCCAAGAAGTTAAGGTAGCTACTAAACATTATGGAAAAAGTACTCTGATGATTCTTTCAGATTCTTGCAATTTTATGTTCTGACTTGTATCCATCTTTAATTGTCTCACACAGGAAGCACGTAAACGGTTTGATAAAGCTTCCGTTATATACGACCAGGTGCGTTACATAACTTGGTTGTTCACCACAAACATTCTCCCTGTTTGAAAAACTACATCTTCATTTAATGTGCATCTGAATGGAACAGGCACGAGAGAAGTATCTTTCATTAAGAAAGAGTACACGATTGGATGTGGCTGCAACAATTGAGGAGGTAATGTACAAAGTCTTATTACTATTCACAAAGCAATCTTCACTTAAAACTAATTTTGGTAGAGAGGCATTTCAGGATCTACATAACGCCAGAACAACGTTCGAGCAAGCCCGGTTTCAGCTGGTAACAACATTTGTATTCTAATTGCTGAGTTTCCAAGGTATTCTCTTAATGGTAAAACTCACATGATGTTTGCTTTACTTCTTACTGGCCAGGTTAGTGCACTCTCTAATGCGGAAGCTAAGAAGCGATTTGAGTTTTTGGAAGCAGTTAGTGGGACAATGGATGCTCATCTCCGCTTCTTCAAACAGGCAAGATGCTTCTTACCTGGAACCAATGAGTTTGGTTTTGCAAGGAAACCTATTATACAATGCTCTTTTCCTGTTTCCTGACATGAACTACTTGATTCTCTCTTTCTCACAAGTGACTCTTTCTTTCAGGGATATGAGCTCTTGCATCAGATGGAACCTTTCATTAATCAGGTCTGATAATATAATACTCCTTGTAGCATGATTCTTTTTTCTTTTAAAATCTCTCAGATTTGAGGAAATAAACCGCTAATTTGTAAAAAAAAAATTATAGAAACTCTTACTAAACTGTTTATAGCCCCGGAAATCTCAGGACCGCCCATGTTTTTCTTATCTCGGATGTGTGTTTAATTGAAATCTTAATGCAGGTGTTGGCTTATGCACACCAGTCTAAAGAATGTGCAAACTACGAAATGGCGTCACTTAATGAAAAGATGCAAGAATACCAAAGGCAAGTTGATAGAGAAACTAGAAACTCATGTGGTTCTCCAACAGGGGATGGTATGAGACACAACTCAAGAAACTCACAAAAAGTCATAGAAGCTGTCATGCAATCTGCTGCAAAAGGAAAAGTAAGGGAACAATACCTTTTGTACTAAGTCTTACTCACATCTCATATCCTTTTATACTGTTCTACAGGTTCAGACTATAAGACAAGGGTATCTGTCTAAACGATCATCAAACTTGAGAGGTGACTGGAAGAGAAGGTTCTTTATTCTTGACAGCCGTGGGATGTTATACTATTACCGCAAGCCATGGAATTGGTCTTCAGTAAGTTGCAAATATTATAACATTTGTATGTGTTGGTTCTGTACTGAATCTTTGAAACTTTATGTAATCAGGGAAATGGAAGCAGGTCTGTTATTCACAGGAATACGACTTCAGAAAGCAGTCCAGGGCTGCTAAGTAGATGGCTGTCTTCTCATTATCACGGTGGTGTGCACGATGAAAAACCAGTTGCACGTCACACTGTTAATCTACTGACCTCAACGATTAAAGTTGATGCAGATCAGACTGATCTAAGATTCTGCTTCCGAATTATTTCTCCAACAAAAGTTTATACATTGCAGGTATATTACAGAGAACATGACTTTGAAAGTACAAAGATCTTCTGTTTCTTTGCCTATGGAAGCTTACCATTGTTAATTGATATAGGCAGAGAATGCACAAGATCAGATGGACTGGATCGAGAAAATAACAGGAGTAATCGCTTCTTTACTTAGTTTCCAGACACCTGAAAGAGCAATCATGGTAACATTTCATATACTACTACTCTTAGATCTTTCTTGTGTGACACGTTATCATTTCTTGCAATTGGAACAGCATCTTTCTACAGTGGATGGAGACACTTTCTCTGCAAGTGATTCAGGTTCTTTAGCAGATCCATATGATTTCGAGCAGGCAGAAGGTAGAGATTCCATAGTGGAGAATCCCATGACAGGAGGGAACCGTTCGAGGTTCTCAGGGTGCTTGCAGCAATATGATATGACAAAGACTGAGAAGCCAATTGATGTCTTGACAAGAGTATTGGGGAATGAGAAATGTGCAGATTGTGGTGCTCCTGAACCTGATTGGGCCTCTTTGAATCTCGGAGTACTCATATGTATTGAGTGTTCTGGTATACATCGTAATCTTGGTGTTCACATTTCAAAGGTAAACCATTAAGACTTCAATCTCTCAGACTTCTCCAAGATTCAAGAAAGTAGTCTAGACATTTCCCATTTTAAAAAATAGCTCTATAAATTTGATATGAAGTATTCAACCTTGTCATGCAGGTCAGATCGCTCACACTTGATGTCAAAGTGTGGGAACCATCGGTGTTGACGTTGTTCCAGTCATTAGGTAACGTATATGTAAACTCAGTGTGGGAGGAGTTGTTGAACTCAGAGAGTAGAACTTCTAGTGCTAGTAGGTCTTCAAGGTAAGTGACTACCTATTCTAAATCAGTTTTATTTCTGCTAAGAAGCAACTACATCTTACACATCTACTTACACTGTATTCAAACCTTTTTTTGTATTTACTAGCACTCCCAAGGCAGACCGACCAAGAAAGTTTCTTGCAAGGAAACCTGGTTGCAATGATCCCATCTCTGTGAAAGAGTTGTTCATCCACGCAAAGGTATTAAAAAGCAGAGTTTTTAAAGATCCCATGTCTTTCCATTGCTAATATTCAATGGCTAATTACAGTACTCAGAGAGGATATTTGTCAGAAAAGCAACAGACAGTAAGCATTTCCAAGCAGTATTCCAAGAGATTTGGGAGAATGTCCGAGCCAACGACAAGAAATCAGTTTACAAACACATTGTCTGCTCTGAAGCAGATGTGAATGCATTACGTGGACAAGCCTCCTACACAGTATCTCTACCCTTAGCGAAGATGATGCAACTGGAGGCGAAGGAGGAAACTCTCGAAGCCAAGTTCAAGAGCATTGAAAAGGAGTTTCAAGAGAAACAAGAAGGTTGTTCCAAGTCAAGAAGAGGAGACGGTGAAAGTATGGTCAGAGAAGAGACTTCAAACGACTGCTCTTTGCTTCACCTTGCTTGTCTCTCTGCGGATATTGGTATGGTTGAGTTGTTGCTTCAGTACGGTGCGAAGATAAATGCAACAGACTCAAAAGGTCGGACTCCACTTCATCATTGTATAATCAGTAGGAGATATGCAATTGCAAGGTTGCTTCTAATGAGGTAAATTAAAACTCTTGTCTTGAGATTTCATTACTACTAGAAAAGCATTATAAGTGTGGTGCTAATGATTCAATCACAGGGGAGGAGATCCAAATGCTGTGGATAAAGACAGTAACACACCGGTTAAATATGCTTCAGAGACAGATCTCAATGATAGTGAACTAATTGCTTTATTAACAGACTCCAAAAGATGATTCATAACCATTTGAAAGCAAAATGGTATAGCACTAGAAGAGTGTTGCTCTATTGAACTCTTTGCGCCTTTTAGTTCGTTTCATACTCTCTCTTTTTTGTTCATGAAGAGCGTAGAGAATGCATGTAAAGATTTTGTTTTGGTGCTTATTTGGTGTACATATTTGGTTTCTCAAATCTGTTTTTGTTGTTGGTGCAATGAAATGACAAAGACACCATTATGTGTGTTCTTCTGTTCAGCTTAATGTTTTCTTGAGACAGAACTTTGTGATTTATGGTTTTTTAGAAATATTTAAAATTACTTTTATGACGCTATTATAATTCATGGGGAGACATTGAATTAAATAATAGTGTGTAGGTCTCGAGATGGTGATTTATATGGGGAGGTTATGGGAGAGATATGATGAAGATATCCACCAGAGTGGAAAGTTCAAATGGTGCATGAATGTTTACCCAAATACAGTGTGTGAAATGCATGGTTTGACCAAAGTTTCTTTCCTGTTTTGTTTTTACATGAGTACCCAAACAAAAATTTAGAAAAGTCAACGAGTAATGGGTAAACATAAACTAATAATAAAATCATTTGTTTTATAGTTATAGACCGTGTTCTAGATAATTCAACAATATGTGTGTGTGCGCAGTTTATATGACGATTTGTTTGTATACACACACACACGTAACGTGAAGTGTAAGAAGAAATTAGCCTTGTTGTAACTAAAAGATTCATGAAAAATATGAATAATTTTTAAAAATCACTCTTTCAAGTTTAATGAACTATGGTTGACAAATTTAGATGTTACTAGAGTTTATGACTTCGTGTGTTTTCAACAATTTTCTAAAATCGGCCGTTTAGCGACCCTCTTCCGCCCCGATTTATATCATATCGCTGTGAAAATCGATATTCCGATTTTAGTGTCTGCCTAGACTACCTAAATGACTGTCTAGCTGCCTATACGACTGCCTAATCTATTTTTTATTTTATTTTTAAAATAATACTTTTATCTATTTATTTGATCTAAAATTTAATAAATATAATTTATATTTATAATTTTGATAAAAATTATATCATAGTATTAATTTTATATATTCTATTTCTGTGTTTTATAAGATTCTAAACATGAAAATGTATTAATATTATACACAGTTAAAGATTAACATATTTTATAACATATCAAATAGTCTAAAAATTTTACCTCGTATAATCCCGCTTAATCTCTAGACCCAATTGTATTGCCCGACTAGCGTCTAGCGCGTTCTCAGACATGAGTTTTCAATATCATTCTTAATCATGAATGCACTATTTCACTCAAACTTGGAGCAGATAACACGTTAAACAACCTCTTTCATCATTTCAAACAACTAACTATGATTGGGTAGACTTTGTGTTGATTAGGTAAAAATTAAAATTAGTGTTTATTGACCGTGGATAAAGCGTTACGCTCTCGATGAATCTTGCGTTCTAAATCTTTTAATATATGATAACGTCGACAAGTAATCACAGTCGTTGTATGGTCTAGTTTGGATGCGAATTCAAGTTCAATGTTCCAATTACCAAATACCAGTTTGAAATAAAACATAATGGCCAGAGTAGGTAATTCATATTACATAGTACTACTAAATTATTGCTTTTTACTGTTGACACACGTTTCGAAGTTGATTATACGCACAAGAAAATAAATTGAATGATTGTGTTGGAAGCAAGGAAGCAGTGACTAAAGAAAACAGATTAATCAAGAACCTTAGCTAGAGTCAGCGTCATTAGATACAATTAATTTATTTTTAATGCCCCATCTACTAAAGTTGGCTTGATAAACTAGTGCATTCCATTTTAATAACCATTGAGTTGGTTGATAATATAAAATACAATAATTGGTGTTCTTTTGCGGTCAAAGAAAACGATTAAAGTGATTATCTTCTTAAAGTGATGTTTAGACATAAATAGAATTAACTTCATTGAGAAAGATAAATTTTCCAAATTCAATCAACAACACTTATATTAAGCAAAAGAGATTAATTACCTTGTCTAACCAAAAGAAATACTAATATACTTTTATAATTACAGGATCTTTTTTATTCAAAATTTTACATCGCGTGATTTACATTTGTAAGCAGGAGTTTTATGATTATAAAAACACCATAAGATCACACAATTTACATAATTTTCTTAAGAAACTGAGCTCAAGTTTTTAGCAATTATTTCTATAGCATAAGCCGACAACACTAAGGAAAAATGTGTGGTATTTTTTACATAATTATGAGGCTCATCTATAAAAAGTCTGGTAAAATTAAAGATTGAATTACAGATAATAGAAAAAACATCTAATATCCGGCAAATTGCTAATTTATTTGGAAAGCAGGCAAACTTTCAATAATAATAAAATAAACTAGTCGTTGTCTTGGACACACAAAAACGGTCCAAAATGTTCAGCACGAAGGTTTTAATGATGTCTTGACACATGGCATATGCATAATAAATTTTATAAAAATGTTGATTGCTTATACTTATAGATGATCAAGTATGTTATCTCTAATTGACTTGTTAGGTGGAGTTATCTACTATGGTGGAGCCTTTTGATTAATTAAATATTTGAAGATAATGTTTTAATTAATCCCATGTTATTAAGTCAAATTGACGTACATACATGGGCGGTTATCATTATGTGTATGTACTAATGAGTTTTGTTTGTCTTTATACAGAAATCTTATGTATTAAAATATAAGTCAAATTCTTTCATATGTGATATTTCATTTTAGACCATTTAAAAAAAAAGTTTATTAGATTTTACATAACATATTAATAATATCTTTTCATATTTTTAATTTTTATTTGAAATATAAATAAATATTCAAAAAAATCTAACAAAATATTTTTAAAATATTTTAGGATCTTTTCAAAGTATATTTTTGAAAATTATTTAATTAAATTTTAACTATCATCAAATCTAATTAAAATTAAAATTTAATTTATTTTTGAATTATAAACAAAAATTAAAAGTTTCTTCTCTATTGTGTAGGTATAAATTAATTAAATTTTCACATATATTAAATTTCTACCTACACAATGATTTATATCCCAAAAAAATTCTTCTCTATTGTGTAGGTATAAATTAATTAAATTTTCACATATATTTTCAAATCAGAAATAAAATAAAAATCATGTAATTTAATATTGTTGTATAATATTTTTAAAAATAAATTTTGTAATAATAATATTATAAGTCACACAAACACTATTATAACGTTAGATAATATATAAAAAATATATTAATAAATTTATTATATAACATTTTAGTATTAAAAAAACCCGCACGATAGTGTGGGTCAAGATCTAATTTCTTAGTTAAAAGGAAAAAAGTGACTTTTGTTATTGTATTCCGAAAATCTTCATTACAGTATTGTTGTTATATTATGGATTCAACTGCATAAGTATATATTTATCCGTTAGACAAGCGTGCGGTAATTTATAAAACTATGAAATATATTTTACAAAAGATCACACTTTGCTTTAAAAACGGGTTACCAATAAAACACCACAGTCATTTTTTTTCGTGGATTGCCCCCATAACACTGTTTTTCTTATTAGAGACATAATATAATTTGTTTTTCCAAAAAACAATTAAACTAATTGCAATTTGCTGTGACAATAATATATAGATGTGATTAAAGATGAAGGTAAGGTACGGTGTTTTATATGGCTGGACCGTTTTAAAGTTTGTGTTGTGTGTCTTGTCCAGCTCTAAGATGGGATGCTCACCCTTTTTCTGCGAGAAAGATAGAAAAGTCATTAACAAAATGTTAATATAATTAGTTGAAAAGGATAATATATATATATATATATATAAAGATATCCAACATATATAATATTACATATAAAGGTATAAAAAGTTAGTATTATGATTGATCCTTTAGAAGCCTGGATTGAGCCGACCAATCAGATCTCAGATGCCAAATTATAAATGATGACTAATCAAAGCTCAATGATCCAATCCAAATTAGCATTCGGACTAGTTTTAGTGACTATTTATGAAAAAACCAAGTTTGACTACGTACAAGTTAAGTATAGTGGCTAAAACTCTTGTATATTAGTATGTTTTTACTAACGAGTTATAAATGCAGTTTTTACTGGCAATGGTTTATTTTCATTAAACAAATTAACATGGTGTAAGTCTGTAAGATACAACTGATATTCGGGTCTTAAGTTTATTAATCATTAAAGAAGTTAATAAATTAACTAATTAATTGATTAAGGGAACGAGGGAAAGAGGGGTTGGTCTGTAGGTTAGGGTTCAAAGATGCGAGAGAATCAATTAGGAGAAAAGGAGAGCATGAAGGCTTGACCCATTCCTTGAATTATTGCTCCTTAACCAGGCGACACGTGTTGGCCCCATGATATTATTATTTCTTATATTTAATAAATAACTATCTCCAACAAAGAATAACCCACCATTAATTCGAAATTGTTTTGTATTTTATTTAAATGTCATTTTATCTTTGTGTATATAAATTAAATAAAATTCTTTTTCAAAAAATAATAATTAATTTTATATATTTTTATATAAAATATAATTATCTATACACGATGATATTTTAATTAATAAAAAATAAATTATAATATAGAATTAATAAATTTTATATAGAAAATCAAAAATAATATTTATTCTGTAACAATTTTTTTTCTAAAAAACTATACACAGTGTGAGTATTACAATATGTAAGTCAACTCCACTTTATATTTTTAAAATAAATCGTACTGTATAAAGGTTACCCCGAAAACATCTTATCATGGTCGGTGATTGACACACTAAGGCTCTAACTGGTAACCAACATATGAACATCAAGAACAAATAAAAAAGAAATAGATGGGAATAAAACTATGGGAATGAAGAAGAATAGTTATTCCATATCAAGTTTAACAAGGAACAAATTTGTTCAATAAATCTCTACAATAAAAGGAATGATGAGGAATAGAAAGGAAAAGCTATTCCTTATGAATGGTAAATTTTTTGAGGAAAAGAAAGGTATTGTTCCTCCTCGTTCCTTTGGTCACCATTCATAGCCTAACAGTATTAGGGAATAATTCCTTTCCTTTTTAGTAAAGGGAAAAACAGTTATCCAGTAATTTTTTTTTTCTTGGAATTTATCGGGTAGAATGTCACATGTTACTCTTCTGGTGCATTGGAAAAATTCAGATTATGTCTGTGTAAAATCTCGATAACTAACGAAATGTTTTGGCATATTCATTATCTATACCAAACAAGATTTTTTACTGGAATGACAACAACTAAAATAGAGCACATTTTGCTCGTTTTCCATCAACCCTATTTTCTCCAGCTTTGTATTATGCACCGATCTATCATCAAGAATATATATATATAAAATAAATTAAAAGCAGATAGTTGTATGTATAAAGTGACATTAGCGTTTGTGAGAATGTATTACAACGAATTTAAATATTATCCCTCCGTTTCATTTTATTTGTCATTCTAGGTTTTTTCACACAGATTAAGGAAATATTTAATTTTACATATTTCCAAAATAAAAACACAATTACCTATACACCTAACCACTTTTCAGTCAATAGAAAAATAGAATATTATATAAAACTAATAAATTTTGCCTAGAAACTTTAAAACGACACTTAATTTGTGACAAAAAAAAATAAACCTAGAATGACATATATTCTGAAACAGAGGGAGCATTTGTTATTCTTTTCCTAATATTATTTTAAATATTGGTCCTGACTAGACGATAAATCCAGCCTAAACAAAACGATTTTCTTGAACATTTTTTTTGTTAAAATCGGTCTATGTATTTAAAAAATCAATTTAGAAACACAAATCCTCTATAAATCATTGAATTACCGCCTAGTAGTTTATTGAATGTTCTCAAATTGATATAGTATAAATTTTGTAGGTTTTCGGGATGTCAAATTACAGTATATAACTTGTACATGGTGATGGCTTTTTCTACCCTTTTAAAATGCAAAAATGGATTTTTCAAAAAAGAAAAAGAAATGTAAAAATGGTGATATACGTTTTAAAGACTCCTTAATTAAGGTAAGATAAAAAACGATTAAAAATTAATTAATTAATTAAATTAAAGAATGTTTTTTTTTTGTTCAACAAGGGGTTTTCTTTTTAAACGGACAAAGATTCCTAATGGTTGTTGCTTTTAGACCACACACACAAATGGTGCACAGTACTCATGTGTCCCACACCTCTCTCTCTAGCAACTGCGTTATCAACACGTGAATCTTCTCCTCCCAACTTATCGTCCGTTTTCTCTTTTATCATATCGCGTGTACCCACTCACTTGATCATAAAAACATTTGTTTATTTTTGATGCTATTTTGAACCAAACGGTGTTGGTTAATTTATTCATGGTTTACGTCAATACGTGATATGTTATATATGAAGGAATTATTGTTTATAGTTGCGTCGATCACTAATATAATTCAGAGATGGATATAATTGTCACATGTTTATGATATCTACGTCGGGATAAATCACATGCATGCATGGCGAATGGTCCGTTTCGTTCTATGTTTAAACGTGTTTTGTGCCCTAGCGAACATTAAAATGGTTTTGTAACGCATAGATTAAATCTTGATGATACGATCTCAAAACTTAGGAAATGTAACTCATAGTCAGGGCCGATATTGGGTCAAGCCGGAAAAAACATTCATTTTGGGCCCAAATTATTTAGAAAAAATTACATGTATATAGACTAAAATTTTAGGCCTCCAAATTTGACACAAAAGAAAATTTAGTTGAAATCATTAAAATATCGCCTTAGGTTTCCAAAATCGGATCCTTGCGCATAGATTAAACTGTATAACAAACATCTGGACTGCCATGCATTGATATGTTTACATATTATCAGAATTGTTTTGCATGCATTGTTGTAAAATGACATTTTCTTATTAAAACATAAATATGCAATATTTTTCTTTCTATAGTAATGATATAGGAAAAAGATAGCATTGGCTTGTATGCCCCAATCCAACATTATGAAAAATCTTGAAGCGCACAATAGCCTAAAGTACATGGAAAATGACACCTGGATTATCGGACAATGCTAATATACGCTTTTTCTACGAGTGCCACGTAAATAATTTCACTCCTTCTCTATGTCCACCCAGACATGCCTGTTCACAGCACGACAAGGCCACTTCCCAATGAAAACACAACACCTTTCTCATTAACTTCTCCCAGAAACACCGTTATCTCTTTAGAACCAATACATTCCCGACGTGTTGACGCCGTTAAGTACCCCACTACAAAAGCAAAGCTGCGCGCCTTTATTTCTTGCTAAATGTATACTAGTATTCATTTAGTATTTGAAAATATGCTATAGATTGTTCATGCATATTAAAAAATAATAATTTATTTAAAATTGCCTATACTTCCCAATAAAACTTAAATATTTAAATTATATTTAATTTTCATGTATTACGTTAACAAAATCAAGAGCATCAGTTTTTTTAATAATGGAAGAAATTTTAATATAAATTAAGAGTTCTAGACCTTTTTTTTGCTTTTTGTCAAACCATTTAGACATTCCCTCCCCTAGTTTTGTTTTTTGGGGTCAAAACAAATGATTAATTTTCAACTACGTGTTCTTTAAGTTATTACCTAACCTACTATAAATTTATTAAAGTACAAATATGCATTTCTTCATATATTTTTAAAAGAAATAAAATGTAAATATAGCATAAAATAGTTTTCCATTTGACGAAAAATGAAAAAATATTAATCCTACACGAAATTTGAGTTTAACCTATGGTTAATTAGTTCATACAATGAATGAAAATATGATGGTGTTATTCAATCATGTGTTTTAATAGAGTTTAAATCTAAACGCAATCCATTATTATTTAAATGATGATTCTAAAATCTGTTTTTTTGTTTTTTTTCTAAAATCTGTTTTAGAATCTAGTGTTATTCAATGAATGATTTAAATTTATTTTTAAATTTAATGTTATTCAACTTTCAAAGATTTTAAAACTCTTTGTATTTTGAATCGATTTCCAATTTTTTGCTCTAGAAATAAAGCTCTTTACAACCATTTTTTATTTTTTCTAGAGATCCTTTTGCTGTTGGTTTTTTAAAGAAAGGAAAATTTGATTGGTTGATTTATATGACTCAAAACTAAATTTTGGCTTTCTAAAGCATCTACAGCAACAACCAATCACCCCCATACTGCAGAGATTTTAGAATTTATCAATTTAAATTTTCTTAAAATTTAAAATTTTGATGGATTACCAAATATTAATAATTAATTTAAAAACACTTATTGAATAACACCCTCTCAGTCAAAGACTTATTCTTGAGTTCACCTTCTAGGATGAACTTCTACGTTCACCAACCAATAGGATAGTGTTATTTCATATTTGATATCTTTAAAAAAAAGAAACAAAATCCTGGTAAGTTATATTATTATAATTTTAAAATAGAAAAAAATAAATAAAAATAAGAATATTTACAAAAAACGAAAAATTTCTTTAAAAAAATATTTTAACATTATATTATGTTTTAAAATAAAAAGATAAAAATAAAATAAAATAAAAACAGTAACAATTGCAAAAAAAAATTTCCAAAAAAAAAATTCTTTTAATATATCCTTAAAATGAAAACAAAATATTGTTACATTATATTATGTTTTTAAAATAAAAAGATAAAAATAAATAAAAAACAATATAGTTGGTTAGTATTATTTTTCGGTTTAATGTTTATGATTTTTCTAAAGAGTTTATGATTTACCCAAAGATTTATGATTTAGGATTATGGTTTAGGGTTTAGTGTTTTAGTGTTAAAATATTTTGTTTTAAAGAATTTTTTTCGTTTTCTGTAAATTCTGTTATTATTTTATTTATGTTTGCCTTATTAGTTTAAGAACATAATGGAGATGATTGGTTGAATTGTAGCTGTAAAATTTTTACTGTAGAAATTAGTTTGTAGAATTTTTTGATTTAGCTTAAAAGATGTAGCTTTAAAATTTATTACTACATCAACATATTTTCTACAGCAAAAAAGATGTGACTTTAGAAAATAAGGATTTTACAACCATTTTTTTTTTGTTTTTAGCTGTAGCTTTAAAAAAATAAGATAAAACATGATTGATGATTTATGTGCTGTAGACAAAAATAAAAGCTAAAGTCAGCATTTACAACCCAATTAGTCACCCCAAATATTCTTTAACAAGATTTTATTTCCTTTTTAAAAAGGTATCAAATATGAAACAACAATATTCTATTGGTTGGTAAACTTAGAATACCAAAGAACAACTCTAAAGTCAAATATGATAATCTCAAAATGATATCTTTCTCTTTTTAGAGAATTACAACAATAATAATTTTCCTATATAAATTAAAGGAGAGAAGGAAATAAAATAAAATAAAACAAAATCGTGACTTGTCTATAGTGAGGTCGCTTCATACCCAGAAAAACACACACAAAAAGATACCAACAAAAAAAAAAAAAAAAAGAGAGAGAGTTTGAAGCAGATCTGAGGTTTGAGATATGACGAGTTCAGAGGTTTCAGTGAAAGTTAATCATCACGGAGGAGGAGGAGGAGGAGGAGGGCAAAATTGTAATTTAAAACGTGTTGGTAAGTGATTTTTTTTTTTTACTTAGTTTTTTTTTTTGGTTTATAAGACTGAGTTTTTTTTTTTTTTTTCTCTTGTTGTTGTAATTAGTTAATGAAGAAGAAGAGGCTATCTATAGAGAGCTTTGGCAGGCTTGTGCTGGTCCGCTCGTGACGGTGCCTCGACAAGGTGATAGAGTCTTCTACTTCCCTCAGGGACACATTGAACAGGTCTGGTTTTTTTGTTTTGTTTTTCTGATTTTTTTGTGATATTCAAAAAGAATTTTTTTACTAATATTAAGAAAATATATGAATTTTTTATTACCAATGCATTATTATTATTTTTTAAAACTATTTTTCATAGTTTTAAACCAATAGAATTTTATGTTTTTTTTTATGAAGTTTACAGTTTACCGTTAATTAATATATTGAAAATGTAAAAAAAAAGAATTTTTGAATTTTTTTTTTTTAGGAAGTGGGAATATTCATAGTTTTTAACCAATAGAATTTTATGTTTTTTTTTTCAAGTTTACAGTTTACTGTTAACTAATATATTGAAAATGTAAAAATATATTTTTGGAACATTTTTTTTTGTTATTAGGAATAGTGGGAGTATTTTTTTGTTTTTGTGGTTTAATATTGTTGTTTTCTTTGATGGTTAGGTGGAGGCATCGACAAACCAGGCTGCAGAACAGCAGATGCCTCTTTACGATCTTCCTTCTAAGATTCTTTGTAGAGTCATTAATGTTGATTTAAAGGTAGGCTTCTCTCAGTTATTTGGTAAATTTTGTTTTTTTTTTCTGAGTCTTGAATTGTTAGCTAACAGTTGATTTGTGTATGTTTGCAGGCAGAGGTAGACAATGACGAAGTTTATGCGCAGATTATGCTTCTTCCAGAGCGTAATGTAAGCTTTTTTTTTGTAATTTCATTTGTTTCTGTTAAGTATAGTATATGATCTTATTCTTCACGTGTCTGTTTTTTTTTTTTGTTGCTTGCAGGAAGATGAGAATGCAATTGAGGAAGAGGAGCCTCCTCCTCCACCACCGAGGTTTCATGTACACTCGTTCTGCAAAACCGTGACTGCGTCTGATACAAGTACACATGGTGGATTTTCTGTGCTTAGGCGGCATGCGGAGGAATGTCTCCCACATCTGGTTTGTGTTTTCAGTTGAAACTATTTTCTTGAAGGTGGTGTTTTGAATTCAGGATTTGTTTTTTTTTTTTTTTTTTCCAGGATATGTCAGGTCAGCCTCCTACTCAGGAGTTAGTTGCAAAAGATTTGCATGGTAATGAGTGGCATTTCAAGCATATTTTCCGAGGTATAGTGTCTTACTAATATTTTCTCTGTTGCTTGACTCTTTTTCGTGTCGTCATACTCATATGGTTGTTGATGTTATTACCAGGTCAACCACGAAGACATTTGCTTCAGAGTGGATGGAGTGCGTTTGTTAGCGCCAAGAATCTGGTTGCTGGCGATGCATTTATCTTTCTAAGGTTTGTGAATTTTTTTTTAATGTTCATGATATACTTCACTTTGTTTTAGACCCTTTGATGTGAGATATTTAAATTCTTGTGTAGGGGTGAGAATGGAGAGTTACGTGTGGGTGTAAGGCATGCAATGAGACATCAGGGCAATGTGCCATCATCTGTTATATCAAGCCACAGCATGCATCTTGGAGTATTGGCCACCGCGTCGCATGCTATTTTATCAGGAACCATGTTTACAGTCCACTATAAACCAAGGTTTTGTTTTGTTCTAGCTAACATGACAGCTTTGAGGTCTTTGCTATTTTTTTGTCTTAGTGACAAGGCATGCGAGTGTTAGTTACTAATAGTTTCATGCGTTGTGGGTTTTTTTTTGTTTGCGACAGGACAAGTCCATCCGAGTTTATTGTCCCGTTTCATCAGTATATGAAGTCTGTGAAAAATAACTACTCCATAGGCATGAGGTTTAAAATGAGATTTGAAGGTGAAGAGGCTCCTGAGCAGAGGTAAAGTATCGTTGTTTTTTGAGTATTCTCTTATCTGATTTTCACTGGAAGGCGAAGCTCACACATTGTATTGACTTATATTAGATTTACTGGCACAATTGTTGGGATTGAAGACTCTGACCCCACGAGGTGGGCAAATTCAAAGTGGAGATCCCTCAAGGTATATGATGATGATGATACTATTGTTATAGTGATGCATGCTAAATGTTCATTTTTATTTCAGGTAAGATGGGATGAGACTTGTAGTATTCCTCGCCCTGAAAGAGTATCTCCGTGGAAGATAGAGCCAGCTCTTGCTTCTCCCGCTTTGAATCCTGTCCCCATGACCAGGCCTAAGAGGCCCAGATCGAATATGGCTCCTCCTTCATGCCCTAACAATCCTATGCACATAAAAGAAGGTAAAGTCTTCATTGCTGACAATATTAGTGTGTCCACGTAAGACTAATGCATTGACAACGTAACAGGCTCATCTAAGGTGAACTTGTACCCTTTACCGACAAGTGGACTTTCAAGAAGGGTCTTGCAAGGTCAAGAATACTCGTCCTTGAGAACAAAACATGCTGAGAGTGTAGAGTGCGATGCTCCTGAGAGTTCTGTTGTGTGGCAATCCTCAGCGGATGATGACAAGGTTGATGTGGATTCCAGAAGATATGAGAACTGGATGTCCTCAGGTAAGAAAGCAAATTACACGGATTTGCTTTCTGGCTTTGGGGCAAACGTGGATCCATCTTACTGTCGTTACATACCTTTTCATGACTATTCATCATCACCCTCAGCGGCTGCAAAGAAAAACCTCAGTGATCAGGATGGCAAGTTTGATTATCTTGCTAGCCAGTGGCAGATGATGAACTCTGGTCTTCCCATGAAGTTAAATGAATCTCCTAATATCCCTTCAGCATCTGATGTCTCGTTCCAAGGGCAAGGTAATGCCAAATATGGCGATTATCCGGTGCTTCAAGCTGCTGGTGGTAACTGGCCAATACGTCCCTGTGCTTTGAATTATTTCGAGGGAGCGCTTCATGCTCAGACGCAAGCTCAGGCTAGGGAGCATGTAACAAAACAACCTGTGATGGTACAAGAGGAGACGGCAAAGACAGGAGATGGGAACTGCAGGCTGTTTGGTATTCCTCTTGTCAACAACGTGAATGAGACCGTTTCAACAATGTCTCAGAAAAACAACTTGAATGAGACCTCAGGGTTTACACAGATGGCATCTCCGAAGGTTCAGGATCTTTCTGATCATTCAAAAGGGTCAAAATCGACAAATGATCATCGTGAGCAGAGCAAACCATCCCTGGCTAATCATCATCCTCATCCAAAGGACGGTCCTAGTAAAACAAACTCAAGTAGGAGCTGCACAAAGGTAAGTTTATTTTTTTTTCCTTTTTTATTATAAGCTCCCTTGAAGCAAAACTTGACTAATAACAACACTACACATTGGTTTGATTTTGAAAAAGGTTCACAAGCAAGGGATTGCACTTGGCAGGTCAGTGGATCTCTCAAAGTTCCAGAACTACAAGGAGTTAATAGCTGAGTTGGATATGCTGTTTGAGTTCAATGGAGAGTTGATGGCTCCTAAGAAAGATTGGCTGATAATTTACACAGATGATGAGGATGATATGATGCTTGTAGGAGACGATCCTTGGCAGTAAGATTTTGCAGTTTTTTTTCCATCTTTTCTGGTCTTTTAATTTTTTTAACACTGACACAATGATTTATCTACAGGGAGTTTTGTGGCATGGTTCGCAAGATCTTCATATACACGAAAGAGGTAGTCATGAAGATGAATCCAGGAACTATAAGCTGTAGGAGTGAGGAAGATGCAAAAGATGCGAAGTCTGCTTCCAATCCTTCATTGTCCAGCGAACTCTTGAACCAAAAGAACCAACACACCCTACAAGCCCAGGTATGCATGCTTTTTAGCTAATAACAGGACAGGACAGTTATATCATGACCGTAGAAATGATGTTTGGTGTGTTGGTAACGCAGGGAGATGTAGAACCCAAACCAGGAGGAGGGTTTGATGGTGGAGCCTGGAGAGCTAAAAAGGGGATTATGGGGGGGTATAAGATATGATACTAGAGAAAGAGAGTGCAAATACAGTAGAGTTGTTAGCTGGGAGGTTGGTATTGGTTCTTTTTATAAGTAGCTCTTTAATCCCTTGCAGAGGTCTCTTTATTGGTTATACAGTGATGGCAATGTACAATAAGTTTTTAAATATTTAAACAGTCTTCTATCTTCATATCTTCTCTACTCATTTTGATATGGCATTTGGGTGGAGGTAGCTTAGGTATCTTTAACAGCTTCTTCACTTGTGGACGCTTAATCACTGTAATTCATCACCACATTGTTAAGTGTTATGCTGCAACTTTGAAATGGATTATATATGACTCAGAGAGAGAGATTAGTTTCATCAAAGTGAGAACAAACTGTGTAGTATAAGTTCTCATTTCTACACTTATGAATCAAACACTTCTTATCAACTCTTTTTCCTTTAGAAACTATAAGAAAAATAGTAAAACGGCAACCATGTTTGAATCATCTCTTCTTGCTGCTGTTCTTCTTCCTTCCCTTAACTTGACTCTCCAAAGCCTTGAGCCTCTTACTAACAGGACTCAACGATGACAACCTCGGGTTTACTACTGGCGAAGAAGGTGATTGTATCTCATTTTGGGCTTGGTCCTGTGTCATGGCTTTCATTTTCTTGAGAGCTGAAAACAAGTCAAAGGAAGGTTGTTGACCTGGAGGAGGTGGAGGTAGCTCAGGTATCTTCAACAGCTTCTTCACTTGAGGACGCTTGATCACTGTGAGGTTAAAACTATTCATTGTTAGTGTTATGCTGCAACTATGAATCTTAGTCACATTCACTCACTCACTTACCAAGTCCATAAGTGAGGGAGAAGAGATTGGATGTGATCCAGTAACAGAATATAGCCTGAGGAAAACTCATTGTCATGGGGACTGTGAGGAGAGCGAAACCACGACACACGTTTTTAACAGTGCCTGCCATTGGATTGCCTTCCATGCCTTCTTGTGCATTACACTAGGAGGTTGAAAAATTCAACCTCAAGTTAGTAAGTCTTGACAAATGTTGAAGATGTGTCAAAACTGTTTTTAAAACTGTATGTTTACCTCAACGGTTATCAAGAATGTCAACGCTGTTAAAACCGGTAAGATGTATAAGCTGTCAGGAGTGGTTAGATCGGTAAACCATAGTGCACCTCCGGTTTGGAATGAAGGTACCTTCTCTGCCATATTTCGAATCTGGAGGGAAGAATAGCAACTGAGTCATATAATAATATTCAAACAACATAAGCTAAAAGGCATCTATAAGGATTGAAAAGGTCTTACAGCAAGGAAAAAGCAGATGAACAGAGGTCCTTGAATGAACATCCCTTTCAATGGAGTGAATGGAGTGACACCATATCTGTATATCATAAACAGAGAGTGTATTGTTATGTCTTTGCTCGAGCAAAGACAACAGCTGGGAGAACACTCGACTAAGTAAAAGTTATAAACAAGTTTATGGGTTTGGAATCTGTCACATTTGCTTACTCTTTAAACAAATTCTTCATCTTTTTTTGACCTTCTGCCATCGTAACGTGGTCCATTCCCTGAATACATATAGGGAGAAAGGAAATGGAGAAATCAAAAGAACCATGGAGGCAAGGAAATTCTGAGCTAAATCTAAGTGGTGAATGTAGTCAGTGCATGATTTATGGCTGTGATAACAAACATAGCGTACCTTGCTTTGCATTTCCTCGCGGATGGACTCTAACCGTGGCCTCATCAGCTGCATGATCATAGAACAGACTACTGATGGATGCAGCATACGAAAGAGAAAGAAACAAATATAAATGAGGTTAACGTGCATAGAGATATGCTTGCCTTTTACTATCTCATATCTGGCAACTACAGTAAGCAAAGGCTCTACCAATAGCAGTAAAAGATAGCCAGAAAAACTAGCTAAAACACATTCAGAGTGCAGACTTAGACTTGCTTACACTAAATTACTAACTCTAAGATTCTTCTATCTCCTATTCCTATCAGTCACATGTTAAATGTGATACATTTTCAAGTGGCGAAACTGAATTTTGGTCACAAAATGGAAATAGGAAACAGAGTAAACTTTGTTATGTCATGTGTCTCAGGAGACCACACCTCTTATTAGAAAAGGATCCTTAAAATCCTCTTAACCGAGGGGTATAGAGTTTTCAATTGCCATTTGGAAACACAAAGGAAAATCTATGCATCAATCTAAATTGTCTCCAAGTTGCAAAAGGAGTAAACGAGAGAGACACATACCGATAACTTTGTAGTGTCTTTCATTTGTTTAATCAAGAGAGGAACTGTCGATGACCGGATCAGTATTGTTGCTACAACAATGGATGCCCACCTGTATAAAATAGCCACAAAGAATATGAGAAAACAACAATATCTTAAATCCAAAATGCAATTTCCAGGATTTAACTCACATATACATCTTACATTTTTTTAGCACTGGCATATTTTTTTTTAAAAAACAAAGAGACTAACACTGATCCATAGAACTTAAAGAGTATCTTTACCACTCAAGACCAGTGAAGGAATGAACCATATCAATACAATGCTGAAGAGCAGCAATAGGCAAAAAAGAGTCACTAGCTGCAACAGCAACCTCACCAACTACACCACCAGCAGCAGCCTGAGCAGACCCATCTTGCAATGCCGAGTCAGTTATAACTTCAGCGATATCAGAAACCACACCAATCTTCTCAGAACCAACACCATGTTGTGCACTACTAGACATATATCTATAAAGCACAAAAGCAGAGCCACACGTGGGAACAGAGTTGGTAGAGTGTGTTTGGTGAAGGAAGAAGCTATGGTAACTTCTTCTTCTTTGAGACGTGAATGATGAATCTTCTTTATGATCATTCTCACGAGTTGAAATATGATAAGGCAGTTGCTTTTGACGGGTGATGAGTGTTGTCCTTGTAGATAAAGCTCGTCTGAAAGCCATTTGCAGAGTCTGAAACAGAGTAATAAAGATGTGTGATTTTTTTTAAGGTTAAAGATTAAACCTTTTGATGTTAGATTAAAGTATAAACACGAAAAGGACAGAGATTTAAGGTTTATAGATGATTTGGAGACGAAAGCAGAGAGCTTTTCGTTACAGCAATGAAATCATATATCTAAAATATTAGTCTATGAGATGAGTTAATAGAAACGTGAACCTTGTAATGGAAGAAGAAGACGTGACGGTGAAGACTGTTGATTACGGCGAGGACGGAGAAAAATGATGGAAGGAGATGGAAACTTATGGGTTTTAGTTTAACCGGTTTGTTTTGGTTTAACCGAATCCAATTCAGTTCGGTTTTTATTAGGTTCGGTTTAGTTTAATTCGGTTCTTTTTCATTATAAATAAACGAGTAGACGATCTATTTTCCCACGAAAAGTATACCAAATGTCCACAGAACTATAACCTCGTTCTATTTACCCCCGAGAATAAAGTTCGAAACCTATTTTTCCACCAAATTTGGTTTAGTTATGATTTATGAAAACTGAATTTCAAATCTCCACTCTTATATAATAAATTGATCGAGCAAAAGGAAATAAAAATAAATAAAAAAACCCGACCAATGGATCAGAACAGTAACACGGCCCAACATTCAAACTTAAAAAGATCTGACTGACTGAATATTAATCCGATTAATCTTTGGCTTAATATGGTTTACGGTTTGCTTACAAACAGTAAACCTATAAAAATCGATTTTATGGGATTTTATATTCGATCTTTATAACTGTGGAGTAATATCGATATAACTTTAATTTGGTGGGGAAATAGGTTTTAAACTTTATTCTCGGGGATAAATAGAACATGGTCATAGTTCCGTGGACATTTGGTGTTATATGATACTTCTGATGGAAAATTAGATCGTTGAACCCTAAATAAACAACCACAACATCTTACCAGTCATATTAACATTCTTTTTCCGGTTTAACAGTTTGGTTTATCCTCTGATTGGAAAAATAATCAAACAAAGAGTTGTGTGAATTGTATCTAACTTGATGGTAAATTGTACTTACTATTTGTATCTAACATGGGTTTAAGTGGGTTTGATGTCATTTTATCTTATTTTTAAAAAATTTAACTTGTTTTTTCGGATATTCGGATACCCGTTCGGTTCTCGGTTCGGTTCCGGTTTAGTTTTTCGGATATAGAAATATAGGAACCATTTGGATATTTAAGAATTTCGGTCTAGTTTTGATTTCGAGTATATCGGCTTGGTTCCGGTTCAGTTCTTCGGTTCTGGTTTTTTTTGCCCAAACCTACTCCCAAGGTTTTCTTTTTATCCTTACTCTGTGTCGACACATCACTATTCTTTTTTTTCACATAACCAAATCATTCACTCTCTCTCTCTCTTCTAAAACGCGGCGAGGAACCCTGACTTTCAGAGATTCAATTGTTTATGTTTTTTAGGGTATCTACAACCATGACACCAAATAAGGTGTTGAAAATACAACAAATTTGGTGTAAAATATTTTTGGTCATCTCCAACCATGACACCCAACATTGCACCAATATTATTATTATATATTATTTGAAATTTTCATCTTTAATAATTTTTATGTTTTTATTATTTGTAATTGATAAATAATTATTTTATCACACTTACATATTATAATTATTATTTTTGTGATTTTATGTTAATAAAATTTATTCTTTTTTGGTTTAACAATATTATATTTTGTATTTATTTTATATATAATACTATACTATATTAAAATTTACAAACTATTAATTATAAAAACCACATAATAGAATAAATATATTTATCTTAATAAAAATGTATTAAATAGTAATACAAGTTTCACTATATTATAAAAAAAATTAAAAGGTTATTTCAAAGTTTGGTAAATTTAATAGTATTACATAAAGTTAATTACTTGTTATTAAATCTAACTTAACAATAATCTAATATTATTAGTTGTTCATTACTGTTTAAACCTAAATGGAGATTATAATCGATATAAAATAAAAATATGTTACAATATAAAATAAATAAAATTTCTTTGGTATATATGTTTTTAAATATAAATAAAATGAGAATAATCAATTACTGGTTTTTAAAAATAAAATGATAATGATCAATTATTATTTTTTTAAAAGAAAATATTACCAATTATGTAAAAATAAATAAAATACAAATAATACAGTATATTTATATATAGTTACAAACTTAAACTAATTAATATTACTAATTGAATTATATTATTAAATGAAACATAACAAAATATACATATTAAATATTTTGTGTGATGAATAATATTACACCAACTTTGATGTAACACTATTCACTCTACACCAAATTTGGTGGGATTGTGTGATTTTTGGTGTTCCATTGGAGATGAAATCACACCAAATTTGATGTTTCATTGGAGTTGGCCTTTGGATTTCCAACACTCTGTGTCCTGACACAATCATGTGTTTCCAGTTTATCTTTTGATTAAACACTAACAGACAAAGATATAAAGAACAGAGTTGTGTTCCTTGTTTTGCAAGGAATCTACACCTGTTTAAAACAGTGTAATTTATACATCAAAACCATAAATCTAAACAAGAAACGAAGGATGCATCCTTGTATATATGGTGTAAGATATCAGAGTCACCTATGTATAATAAGATGTACTTGACAAGAAAGTTCTTGGGATTAATAATATGATGAGTTACTGAAGAAGAATAGTCTTCCTTCACTTGCAGGATCAGACAACATATTCCAAAACACCTCTTGATAAAAACACAAGTTTTTAGTCTAAAGTAAAGCAACAAAGTTAACATTGATGAACCTTTCTCATGAGATTCACATAAACCCCCTAAAGATGGTCTCTAAGTCTTTTAGTACTTCTCATTTCTTTACAAAACGACTAACTAACCAACCAACTCTCCTTCATGCCTTCCAAGGATATTCCATGCTCTCATCAACCCCATTGCTAAAGAACCCATTATTCTCAAAGTTGAAAGAAGATGTGTTAGATGACACCACCATCCCTTCCTGGTTTTGCCCCTGGTCTACCCCTTTAATAACACCTCTGAACCTGTTGGATGTGCTCGGTGTTTCCGCAGTGGGAACATAATCTGTCCTGTTTCTTCCCATGTTCTGACCAGACAGTGTCTGCTGCTGTTGCCCGGAGCCTCCTCCGTTGCTGTTTGCCATCTGTTGCCATATCTGGTGAATCATCTGTTGCTCCAGCGCTTGGTTATTACTGCCACTACACGAAGGTTGCTGTTGTTGTTGTTGTTGGTATTGCTGATGAACTGAGGAGTTATTATAACTAGAGCTTGGCATTTGCCACTGAGGAGACAAATGGGAAGAACCAATAGCTCCTTGATAGCTCGGAGATGGGCTCATGTTTCTTGAAGATTCTTGCTGGAGACTACCGTTGGTTTGCTCAGCATTCTGTTTCATTAGCATCGTCTGGTAATTGGTAAGAGCAAAAGCAGCGGCTTGTGCAGAGCCCTGACCGTTGTTCATAGGTATGTTATTGCGCAATGACATTAGCTTGTTGAGACTGTTCCTATCAGGTGGAAGCCCTTGAGAAGCATTAGCTGCTACTTGCTCCACCTCCTGCATCTGCATCTTCCCTGTCCTCATTCTATATGGATAACTCTTCAACGCCTCTGCACATGTAAGCAAAAGCTTTCATTATAAGCACAAAGAATATGGAATTAGGTTTATGTCACAAAAGTTTACCTATTGGACCAACTTTTTGGTCACGGCACATGTCAATCATGTCTTTCATGCTGCTTACAACCTCAGAGATCTGTTTACAAGAAACAAGACGTCAAGGATGATGCTGATACATTAGGAAAGTTACTATAAATAGAAAGTACCTGTAAACACCGAACATAACGTTTAGAAAAGCCTAAGTCATTGAGTGAATGTGACTCCAAGCTTTTAGCTAGTTGTCTCCCAGCAGCCATGACCCTGAAGCAAAACAAGACTTGGCATCAATCAACACATCATATAATGTATAGATATTAAGACAGAACTTATCAAGATTCATTGACACTCACATGTTGCTATTTGCTTGCAAATCCTGCTGATGAATCCCATCTGGTCCACTTTGATCAATTGTGCTCTGACACTTCTCTGCAACCTGAAGCAACTGATTCACCTGAAAAGGAGACAAGAGCTTGTTAATAAGATAAAGAGTTATCAAAGATCACAAAGAGATTCAATTGTTCTTATAATACCTGTGGAGCTACAAGACGGCGAGGAAGCAGCTCTTCATGTCGACGAGTACAAAACTCCCAAGAGAGGATCTTAAGCTCTTGGGAGAATATGATCCGAAGATGGCCTTCACGGACAACACGGATATGTTCATACACACTCTCCTGAACTGCTTTTGCGTATTCCAACACCATAACTCCTGAAGGGAATCTCCGTTCAGCAGGGACGCTGAGGTAAAGAAGCTCGTCAAGGACACCACTTGCAAACTTGATCTCGTTAAGCCTTGGCAACACATCAAAAGTTGCTTCTGCAAAATCCAATTTAAAAAAAAAAAAAAAAAAACTTATTAAGAGAAGATGCTTCATGACCATAAACAATGTTGCTAATTGTGGAACTTACCAAATCCTCTTCCTGATTTAGAGCCACAAAGATCACACTGCCACTCTTCCTGCACATGGCAAAAAATACTACTATCATGTTCAATGTTCAAGAAACTAGGTGGATTGTTTCAGATTGATTTAAACCGGTTTAACCGATTTAGATTGACTTAAACCGGTTTAAACCGACGCAGATTGATCTAAACCGGTTTAAACCAATTCGTATTGATTTACAACCGATACAGAATTATTAAACCGATTTAGAATGGTTTAAACCGATTAAGAATGGTTCAAACTGATTAATAAGCAAATTTTAGAACCAAGATCATTATGTTGAAGTGGTATAAACAAGCACAAACCAGAAAAATAAAAATAAAGAAGAGAAATGGGAAATACAAACCGTTGCAGCCTGAGGAGAAACACCAAGTGCGCTATGACCAACATTATCATAATGAGAGAGACACCATCTCTTCTTTGCACGTGGTGAAAAGTACTCGTTCACAAACTTCCTCCAATAAACAATACTCCCCTCCTACAAAAAAAAAGAACAGCAAGTAAGTTACTGTTCAAAAAGAGCTTGTTTCTAGTTATATCTATACTCACAGAAGGTCTTTGCCGTTGGTGATATAGATACTGCATTAACCTCCGAGCGCAGACGCTATTCTCATAAGCCCTTGGCCCATTAGCTACTTGTTGTTGTTGTTGTTGTTGCTGCTGCATCTGCTGCACCTGTTGCTGCTGTTGCAGCTGAATCCGTTGCAACGGCGGGAGAGACTGGAGAAACTGTTGCTGTTGCCTAATCTTCTGTTGCTGAAGCAAAAGCTGTAGCTGTGGGTTCTGCCCTTGCTGCTGCTGATGAAGCAGCTCCTGTCTCTGAAGCCACTGACGCAATATCTGCTGCTGGAGAGCGTCGTCTTGCTTCGAATCCACACGAGGCTTCTTCCTCGCCTGCGTAGGGTCCTGGAAGAAAGTCTCCGAGGCTGCCCCGCGGCGAAGCGAGGTAGCGCTGGAGCCTCCTCGCTGCACTACCGTGGACCCGTCGGCGACCGATGAAGAGGAGAATGACAATGGCGAAGCGGGTAAACGCATGTAGGACTCGTTGTTGATGCTGGCACTACGCTGGAGGTTAGGACCACCACCACCGCCTCCTCCGCCGGAGAGTCCTCCTCCTCCTCCTGAGTTGGCGTCAGTGACCATGGAGCTAGCTCCAGGGGTTGAGACAGACATCATAGCAGCAGGGTTGTGGAGCTCACTGAGGTTGTGGTAGCCACCACAACCAGGAGGGTTGTTGTTGTTGTAAGAGGAAGTGAAGTGAGAGTTGATGAAGCTTTGTGATTCATCATTGTCTCCTTGGAAGAAGATCCCTGAGGTTGAAGACGATGGTGTCATTCCACCAGCCATTAAAGGTCCAACCTTTAAGGGTTATATCTGCAAAAGATTACATTTTTAACGATAAAATCAGATCAAGAACATTACCCACTAGCGCAAACACACTCGAATCTGGTGTTCCGACAAGAGAACAAAACAGTCATTAAACTCAAACTCTGTAATAACTAAATTCAAAACCCCAATAACACAAAGGTCTCAGCTTTAATGGTTTATATCTGTAAAAGATTACATTTTTAGCGATAAAATCAAATCAAGAACATTGCCCACTAACGGAAACAGACTAGAATCTGAAGTTCCGACAAGAGAACAGAACAGACATTAAACTCAAAACTCTGTAATAAAAAAACACTTAAATCCAAATACAGCGAAACTCAATTCAAAACCCTAATTTTTAAGGTACAGATAAAAAAAATAGCTAAAAACATCAAACTAAACCTCAATTGAAATCAAAACCCTAATTTAAAAAAAATTCATTACAGAACCCATAAACTAAACCCTAGAAAGCAGAGACAAAAGCTAACAAAGGAAGAAACAAAACATACCAAGAGGCAAGAACTGTGAAGTGGGAGCTTCGAATCAGAGCATAGACCCAAGTCAAATCACACAACACACTTAAAGATTCAAACTTTAAACCGAACCGAATCGAAAAACAGAGGAAGGAAGAAGACGAATTTCGAGCTGTAATTACTAAAATAATAAAATGTATTAATGGAAATTTTTATAGAGGAGGGGAAAGAGAAAGCTGGAGACAGGCTCTTCTGGTTATATACACAAAATCACAGAGAACAAAATTTGACCGGACGAGCCGGTGACTGTCACCTAATACTTCTTTATTACCTGTTGGTTGATAACTGACACGTGTAGAGTGTGTGATAACAAGTATCGCTTGATGGATTGGTAACCTTTAGATCTTATGATCGCGTGGCGAATTTTGACCGCGTGATCTGTAAAGAGAGTTTTGTTTTGGATCGTTGGATTAAGAGGTGGGATCTTCTACAATGCATGTATGGTAAGTATTGCCAATGATTGCAGCTGTGAATGAGTGGGTGGGCTACGACAAATATACACTTTATTTTTATTGTTTATAAATTTTTTAGACACAACTAGGGCTAGACAAATAATCCGAACCCGAAAATCTGAACCAAATTCGATCCGATAAAAATAAATACGAAGTGAATACGATATAAATACCGAAGGAATATTGTTTTATGGTATCCAAAACTAAATGGATTTTTGATAGAACCGAAACCTTCAAAATTTCAAAAAATAACGTGTACCGAACATGATTTCAATTCCTAATATGTAGCAAAAATAATTTAAGCTATTATTAAACATCTAAAGTAACATAAATGTTGATGGTTGAAGGTGGCGGTTGAAGGTGGCGGTTGAATCTTGAATTTTTAGATTTACTTTTTTTTTATTGAATAATGTTTCTTATTTCTTAAGAACTTGGTTTTCATTTTATGTTTTTATTTATTTAGTTTTCTTTCTATCAATAATCATGTTCTACCTTTCATTTGATTTTGAATGATCACGTCTGATGTTTTTTTTTTTTTAAATCAATTTTACTTATATTTTTGTTACAAAATAGTTATAAATCAGGTACTTTAAATCCAAATAACCAATTTTACTTACGTTTTGATTACAAATTAGATACAAATTATATATTTTAAACCAAAGAATCAAATGAAACTTGAATACGAAAGTATAATGGGTTATACTGGTTCTTTGAAGATTTAATAACTCTGAACCGAATCTGATAGAATCCGAACCGATCCCAAACTGAATTTTCAAATAATCCAAATGGGATTTGATTTTTATAAACCTGAAAAACCGAGATCCGATTGGAAAAAACAAATATCCGATTGGGACTCCGAATGTCCAGACGAGACCTAGACACAACAATTAAAAGAATATATTACCCTAGCCTGTTTCAGCCCCTTTAACGGGCTTTCTCACAAAGCCTATTTATAAATAGTCATCACCTTGGGCCCAATAACAAATATATTAAATCAAGCCCTAGCCTTTTACAGTGCCTTTAATGGGCTTAGCCTATTAAGATCATTTTATCAAGAAATCACTACTTTAGGCCCATCATTAGCCACCAAAAATTAACAACACTTCCAACGGTTAAAAAGACTCATGTTCTTACACAAATCTCGCGTGTGTGATTTATCTGCCATGGACATTGGCACATCGCACCGATTAAAGGTCGAGACAATGTGTGTCTGGGGGCTAGACATTAAAGGTTGCAGAGTTTGTCGGAGCTGAGAGATGACGTGTAATACAAGTTACTGTTTCAGTTGGTGCAATAGAATACTTGTACTTCAGAAATGTTGAACACGACTTGATAGAGATGAAAAATTAAATATACGTGTTGGGGACATTAGTTTCGTTATACTTATTATTCAACAAATAAATATGTGGGGTTGTAACATATTATAAATATGTGGGGTTATAACATAATATATATTCATTTATGTATGTGTCATGACTGATAGTGAGACATAACAACCAACGATCACATTATTCACTTTTTTTTTCATTTTTGTAAAAGTTTATAAATGGTTTTAGGATTTTTTTTTTATATCTTTTCTTCTTCCATGAGAGAAGTAAAATAAATAAATTATTAAAAATCATTAGTATATTTACTCTGACCAAAACAAACTTTTATTTCTTTTACTTATTACATCTTAGTTCTTATTTATTATTCTTCTTGATCGTGTTCATCTCATCATTTCACTTTTCTCTCTCTATAGATTTTTCTTTTATATGTAAAAGTCTAAAGACTTTGGAATTTCCGATCAGAAAACAACAAAAATGATGAAAATGACAATTGGAACAGCCGCCGCCGGCGACGGTGAATGGGAGCTCCGACCTGGTGGAATGGTTGTTCAGAGACGATCAGATGATAGCTCCAACGTTCCACGTGACATCCATGTTCGGGTCAAATTCGGGTCGGTCCAGCACGAGATCAGTATCAACTCTCAATCTACTTTCGGTAACACAAAAACAAAAAACAGTTTTAATTTTTTAAAAATTATTATCATTATTATTTTTAATCCTTGTTGTTGAATATTTTTTTTTGAAAATTGTTGTTGAATATTTAAAAAGGGGAATTAAAGAAAAGATTGTCTGTTAAGACAAGAGTTCATCATCAAGACATGAAGATTCTATACAAAGACAAAGAAAGAGACTCTAAAATGTTTCTTGATCTTTGTGGTGTCAAAGATGGTTCGAGACTGGTTCTCAAAGAAGATCCAATTTCTCAGGAGAAACGTCTCCTTGAGATGAGGAAACTGGTCGTTAAAGAGAAAGCTAATAAATCAATATCCGACATTAGCTTCCAAGCCGATAGACTCGCCGGGAAAGTATATAACTTATTATTAACTGGATTTTCAAAATTTCCCGCAATACTTTAATTAATAATGAAATTTTCATATTATTTTGGATTTTAGCTGTCGGCGTTTGAGGTAGTGATTGGTAAAGGAGTGAAAGTTGAAGAGGAGAGTCTGGAGAATTTGCTGGAGATGTTGATGAACCAGTTGGTGAAGTTAGATGCAATTCTAGGCGATGGAGACATAAAACTAAAGAAGAACATGCAGGTACTTGACTACTTATTAGTTGCTATGGATCTTGGCATGACAAGATTTGATATTTATAAGGCCATGAAACTCTTAAATTTAATTTTAATGTAAGAAATTCGATAATTTAGAGACTATTAAAGTTTGGTAATTTGTACAATAACTTTTTTTAATTAAATCAAATGTTTTAACCAACTGTGCATAGAATGGTAATGAATCTTTTGTCTAATTTTTTGGTTATAAGAAAAGCTAGCATTTGATTTTTTTTTTAATGAATGCTAATTAATGTTATGGTTTGTTATGTAAGGAGGAAAGATTACAGAAGTACGTTGAGGCACTTGACGTATTGAAGGTCAAGAACTCATTGCAACCGCAGCCGCAAACGCAACTAAAACCTCAAACACAACCGCAAATGCAACCGCAACGCAAGGAAAGAGATCTAGTGACATTTGAGGAGGAAACGTCGAGAAAATGCGCGGCTCCCTCGCCAGATCCTCCGGTTATTATAACCACGAAATGGGAAACGTTTGATTCCAATTCCACCTCTGCGGCCGATGCTAAAACGGCTAAGCCGCTCCATCCAAAATTAAATTGGGAATTATTTGATTAAGCTATAAATATGCATATACTGTAAGTCTGTATCTTACACAAAATACTATATATTTTTCAGATTTTTGTAGCATATATGCAGTTTGTTTTCTATTTTTGTATGTTTTCTAACTGTTTTCGTGTGTAATAGGTTTATAGCCTTAAGGATAGCTTTGCCCAATACTGATTTTATCATTAGTGTGAGGAACTGAGAATATTTTAAGTTGTTACACCAGCTTGATAAAGAAAAACGAATTCCTCTGAAATTAAACCCAAGTTTATCGTGTGCGAATGTCTTGTTTTTTCTTTTTAAATTAAAAAAATATTCATTATATATATTTTTTTTCTTTTCATCGTAAACTCATAATTATTATTGAGAATCGATCTCAAAAAATTCAAACAAGTGTTCAACTATATGTTAATGAATTGACACAGCAGTAAGTAGTAAATGTGGTGGTGTTATAACTTGTAACAACGACAGTTCAAAACGGTCCATGACAAGACAATCTATGTTAAATAGATAGGGACAAACCGGTGAAACAAACCATAAACTTCCAAGGAAGCGTTATAAACCTAATAAACTAATACATTGCAATATAACAGAACACAAATCTATACTATTATTTGCGAAGTGACTTTTCGTAACGGAGCTTCCACGTTAAAAGTTAGACTGGTTAATATCGTTTATACCCTTAATGAAAATAATATATAAATTACATACAAAATAAAAACAAATTTAAATTATTTGGATTAGATAAGTAACTAAATTAATAATAATCAAAAGAATATCTAAATCTAAATAATATCTTTTTAAATAAAATAATTCTGATATATATTGTGATGTTATCTGAAAATATATATTTTGATAAAAATTTAACACTTAAAACAATAGAAAATACATAACTAAATATTAATCAAATCAACTTATTAATTTTATATAACTGAAAAAATTATTTGATTTTAAAATTATTTAATTATCCAAAATCTAAATAATATCTTTTTAAATAAGATAATTCCGATATATATTGTGATGTTATCTGAAAATATATATTTTGATAAAAAAATTTAACACTTAAAACAATAGAAAATACAATCAAGTCAACTTATTAATTTTATATAACTGAACATATTATTTGATTTTAAAATTATTTTTAAGAGTGAACATAAATTACAAAGAAATATATGTAAGCATTGTTAAATGAAAGTAGAAATATTATTGGTTTCAAAAAATAAAACACAATTAATATTTTATCATTATAATCTTTTAATTAGTAAAATATGTATTAATAAAATAATTATAAAATGTTTAGACCCGCAAATGCGAGCAAAACACCTAATTTACTAGTAATCAATCATATTTCAGTTTATGACCCACGTCTATCTCTAGATAACTCTAACACTTGGTCAGGATATGTAGTCTAGCTTTTAGCTGCTACAATTGTTGTCTTGTTGATGTAAAGATGTTTCATTACCCGGCCCGAGTTCAATCGCATAATGTACATTGTATTTGTTGGGAAAAAATATTGAAGACTTGTTAAGCACTAAGTAACTCTAGCTTCATAAAACAAATATTTTTATAGGAAACTTATATATCAGATGTTTTCAATATAATAAATTATACATATAAACAAACATCCCCGGTTGTGAATATGATGACTACTCCAGCACTGAAAGCACCATGCCGAACTTGTTAAAAAAATGCTAAATGCAAATTTTCAAGTCAGCGAAACTGGGAGAGCTTTTTCAATACTGTCAGGATCGAGCAAAGAGTTCAACATATCTTCAACGGCATAATCCTATAAAATATACAAACACAAAACAGTAAATAAATTTGATATAAGAAGTTGGGTGCACCCTGTAATCCAAGCGTAACATTTCATAAGTTTAATATAATATAATACTATATTTTGATCCACACAACCGTCGTGTATTTTAATACGAAAATATTTAAAATTATATAATAAAATTTAGAAATAAATAAGTATAATTTGATTCAATTTGATAATAATTTTTATGTGACTTTTAATATTATTAAAATAAAATTTATAAATTTGTATTTTTGTAACAATTTTAAAAAACAATATTATGTAACATTACTAATTTATATACTTTGTTATATTTCTAAATTTGAAATCTATATAAAATTTAAATTAAGTTGGACATACATAATATATAAAAAAAATTTTGGGATATTGTTAAAGGTATTTTACATAGTTTTTATTTATTGTTTATAAATAAAAATGAATTAAAATTTTAATTAGATTCTATGATAATTAAAATTTTAATCAAATAATTGTTGAAACGATATCTTGAAAAATATTCTAAGAGATTTTTTAAAGATTTTCTTAGAATTTTCTTAAAATTATTTATTTGTATTTAAACAAAAATTAAAGATATGGTAAGATATTATAATGTTATGTAAAATTTTATAAAATCTTAAAGATGATCCAAACTAAAATATCACACATAGAGAGAATCATGACTTCTCTTTTAATATAATAGATAATATATAAAAGAGGTGTATAAAATGAAAACTTGAAAATTACATTTCGTCACTGTATTTTAACAAATATAACTTGTTTTTTTTTTCTTGCAGGTGATAAAGTTCGAGTGAAACTAGGTCAAAACTACCATGTTCCTATGCAATCAGTTCTCAAATATTAATTATTTGTCATGTCTTTTTATATGGAAGTAATCTAAGGTCAAAAAGAATCTTTCAGCGATAGAAACAAGACTTGCCTGATTTGTAATGGTCATGTCCAGAGTAGGAAAGCACATCTCCGGATTAGCATCACGAAAATTCAATATTTCTTCATGATTATTACCCTTCATTGCGTATATATCGTTAAGAAAATGTTCACCCATAAAAGACACACATACACTTTTTTTTTTTGAACACATAAGACACACATACACAAAAGGATCTCTTAGTGATATAAACCAGATTTACCTGATTTGTAATGGTCATGTCCTGAGTAGGATTATAATACATCTCCGGATTAGCATCACCAGAATTCAATATATCTTCATGATTATTACCCTTCATTGCGTATATATATCGTTAAGAAATGTTCACCCATAAAAGACACACATACACAAAAGGATCTCTTAGTGATATAAACCAGATTTACCTGATTTGTAATGTTCATGTCCTGAGTAGGATGACAATACATCTCCGGATTAGCAGTGGGAGAGTTCAATATTTTTTCATTATTGGTACCCTTAAAACAAATAATTAGTTGTGTATATATGGTTAATAAATGTTCAATCATATAGATGCACATACACAAATTAGAAATGTAATAAAATAAACAAGAAAAAGGGTAAAAAAAAATAAAAACATAAGGAAAAAAGAGTAACATAAACATGACTTACGTCACTAAAACTCCAACTGCTAATGTCTTCAAGAGGATAAGCAGTATGTGCCTCAAAATTTACACCAGTCAGGTTACCTTGATGCTGCTCAAAATCATGCACATATTGAATCAAACCATTACATTCAGAAAGTAAATAGAAAGCTAAAATAATATCAGTTATTAATCATTATTCTACCTGATCCTGATGAAACTGAGAGTTATTTGTATTAGGAAAAGCCTCGTTGATGTTGTATTGGTGATCATTAAAAAAATTTGGATTGTCTAGTGCAGGGACCACACCACCAATTTGAGCAACCAAGTTGTTTTGTGACTGATCCTTACTGTCTAAGAACGATGGCAATGTAGAAGGAAACATTGGAGTAGAACTTCCATGTTTACTCACGTTGTTGTTATTGAAGTTCCAGTTCGTGCCATAATTTACACCAAGAGAGTCATTATGGTTACTAGTACCATGAAAATTTATCCCATCTACATAGCTAGTATCAGTACCATGAACTCTTATTCCACTAAGCGAGTCACTGCTGTTACTACTACCATGACCTATGATTCCATCAAGAGAGCCATTACTATTACCAGTACCATGAACTTGTACTCCACCAAAAGAGCCATAACCATTACTAGTATCATGAACTCTTACTCCATTATCATTACCATGGATCTTCATTCCACCAAGAGACCCATGACCAGTACCAGGAACTCTTATTCCACCAAGATACCCATGACCATTACCATGAATACTTAATCCTTGAAGAGAGCCACTACCAGCACCATGAACCCTTATTCCACTAAAAGATCCATTATCTCTACCATTAACTCGTAGTACTCCACCAGGTCCAACCAAATTTCCATATTCATCTCTTCTGACACCAGCGTAATTACTACTATCCGTAGTACCAGAACTAGGATCTTGAGATGTTCCAGGAATGCTTGTTGTACCATATTGTCCAGAACTAGGATCTTGAGATGTTCCAGGAATGCTTCTCAAGATACCATTCTGAAACGCAAGATTGCCTCTCCCAGGAAACATGTTGCATCCCGATTGGCTCAAATTATAGCCGGGTCTACTATTCATGTAGTTGGGAGAGACATGTAAACCAGCATTGTTGTTCATCATGGAGCTAGACTGACCAAGACCATAGCCAGGCTGGACCATGAAAGGATTTTTGTTGTCTAGACTTGTGTTGTAGTTGTACGAGTGTTGTGGGTTGATGTAGCCGCCTGTTGATGAAAATTCCGGGTACATAGCTATTCTTTCCCTTTTCATGCTTTCCTCCTTGGCGTTCAAGTTTTTTCTGTACTTCTGTGTAGTGTCAACAGTTTCAACATTTTTAGTTTTATGTTTTATGAAGGTATACTCAGTATGAGCTGAAAAATTATACAAGACACACACATATATATATATACACTCAATATTAATTTTCTATTAGTTTCTAGTCATATCATCAGACAACTTTCACTGAATCAACTAATACTATTGATGTATGTGTATACTATTCAAGAATCGGGAACATTAGTAAAATTGAAGTATATTAGGTTTTCTTTTATCTTGAATATACTTCTTTATGTAGATATTTGATCCAAAATTGCATATTGATTTAATGTGCTTTCAACTAAAATGTTAAGCAAAAAAAAAAAAAAGAAAACTATGATCAAATGACAATGACATATGGTTTTAAAAGCAGTATGATAGATGAACGAACCTGTAATTTGCTGGCTATGTGTGCTTTTGTGAGGAATTTCAGGTTCATGAAATTTAAAATCTGCTTAGGCGTGACCTCTTCAAAATTACATTAAACACAGAACAAAAGACGGAACATTAGTATATATACCGATCCAGATACTTTGAAAATGCAATTTACAAACGAAAATTTTGTTTACAGTTGAGTATAACATATGAATTTTATTTATAACTTACGTGCAACAATCGTATTATTGTTATCTTTCTACACTAATAAAATGAATTAAAATGTAATTTTCTAAGTGAAATTTTGTGGCCACTATTCATTATCTAAAATATAGTTTATCAACACCATAAAATTATTATTATTTTCATATAATAGTAGATATTTAAGTACTCACTATGAATACCAATGAATTCAATGGCCTTTTCAAATTGATCTTCAAGTGCTTGCGTCCATTTGAGCTTATACTTTTTAGTCGCCTGTGATGAAGAACCTCCTCCATCACACGGATCGCTACTTGTAGTTGTCTCCTGGATTTTCTTTGAACCATCTGTATCGTCCTCGATTTTCTTTGAACCATCTGTATCTGATTAACATGTATAGCTAAATTACATGTAATATGTATAATACATAACAAAACATATCTTGTATCAAACGGTGTAAAGACTGCTGGTAGGAGAAACAGTGAGATTGTTTTTCGTATCATATGAGTCATGGGATTGATATGAAATTACCGGTAATCTTGTGGCTTAAATCATTTTCAGTGTTGAGATCGTTTGGTTTGATGAAGCACGGGGCTCCAGAGGGTAACATCTCTTGTTTATTTTCATTGTTCATGTCTGCTGAAAATCACTGTAGTAATCAATCAAACACACAAAAAAAATCGGAAAGGAAGTTGTTAGCATCATCAATTGAGATTATACGAAAAACAAATTAACGAACAAATAATCAACAACAATGTCAATGTGTATGCAAAATATTGCATAACAATTAGTGGCGTCTAATGTTGGTTTCTTCTTCTTTTCAACACTGACCTGTGATTCTTTGATAATTAGTTTTTCGTTGCAAGATTTTCTTATCGCATTGGTATGTTTTTTATATGTATGGAATTTTTTTTGGTCAAATCTGTAAAATTTAATAGGGTAATATTGGTTTACCTTAGCTGTCAAATGTACACAGTAGGTGTATATAAAGAAAAAGATTAATTTATTTGACTATTTTATCATTTTAAGCTACCCTCCATATATTTTATAAAAGCAGGTCCCTTTATATAGAAATAAATATTTCTCATTTTAGATTTGGAAAATATTTATCAGAAAAAAGAATCCAGGCAATTTTGATCAATGCAATTTAATAATATATCTTAAAAATAGTCGCAAGTAAATTTTCTCTCTTTTTTTTTTTTTTTTGTCACCACTCACATAACTCCTGTTTCTATTAAGGGACACGTAGTTATATTTATCACCCAAAATAAAAATAATTAAGTACAAGGAATAGTTACCATGGTGCCTTGTCATCGTTCAACACTTATTTTTCATTATAGGGATGCATATGTAGCTAATCATATAAAATCGTTATTTTTGTGTTTCCATTTGAACAAATTGATTGTAAAATGGAGTGAAAAGAAACAGAGTCTAGTAGAAAACATAACTTGTTGATAGGAAAAGAAAAGCAATTAACGTTCGATAAATGGGAAGAATATAACCCTTACCAATAATTTTCCAAATTTTCCTTTAATCTTCTCTTTAAGTTGCACACCATTCAAACCAGGCATATTATAATCAGTGATTACAATATCAATGTTTTTTTTGACTGAATATCAATGTTTTTGCATTGACCTCTAAGCGTATACTGATTCTGACCATAGCCGTCTCAAATAAATTTTAGATTCTGTTCAAAAAATAATAATGATATATTTATGATTTAATGAATTTTTTTAAAAAAAATTAATAACTATGTTTGATGTTTCTTTAAAAATTATAATTGCTAATTTAGGAATATATCTATTTTTTAAAAAAAGAACTTATTATAATTTATCTATATATTGCTTAAAAATTCTTAATTTTCTTTTATTTTATTTTTATTTTTATATTTGATACCATGTTCGACCATTCCACTTACAAATGCTATTAGACGGCTCTGTTTCTGATTAATCATTTGCTGTCATTACTGTAATTTCTCCAAATGATTTATCTAGAAACTAAACAATTAAAATATGAGAAATACATGCCACGAGTGAATATACAATATGCACATACGTGTATGTAGATGGACGAGTTTTCTAAAGTTTTTTTCCTTTTTTAGGAAAAAAAAGGATTTTCTTTTCTTTGGTGAACAAATGTATTTTATTAAACTTGTTTTCATACTAAATAAATAATAATATGTTGTTTGAGATTTAAAACCAGGCAATAGCGAATAAACTTCATTTTGAGAAAAAAAGATTATAACTTATGTTGGGAAACTGTATAAGTAACTATATTATATATCTGCTTGATGTGTGTCTTTTATGTCTGGTTAATGAGTTATGTATAGTTTAAAAAGGGTTGTGTATTATACAAAGTTTAAATAAGTATTTTAAATGGATCAAAAATTATTTGAAGTAGTCAATCCTCCAAACAAAATTGAAAAGTAATTTGAGAAAAAAAACACATACTTTTCTTTGCAAAGAGTATAAGTGGGAATTGAATTTATAATGTTTTTAGAATTTTCAAGTTTACTGTTATTGGTTGATAGATTTTTCACATTCTCATTAGAATTTAGTGTTGATTTGATGAATTTATAATTTTATACAAAATTATTTGTTGTTCAAAAAGTTTAGATCTTAATGATTCTACAAATCTATTAAAGTAAGTGTTATTGGAAGTTGAATTTTTAACATTTTAACTCACAAATTTTTTTTTTGATAATACTACATGTTCCTTTTGAATTCTTAAAATGATTACAACTTTATTTTCATAGATTTTCACAATATACAAATTTCTCTACAACTCTTTCCGAATTTAAAAAATCTCTCAATTTTTAAAATCAACAAAATCTATAGAAATCTAAATCTCGCTAACATCTCCTAATTTTTTTTTGTATTTATAAGAAACCAAATTCCAAACTTTATATCAAAATATACAAGTGATTAAGCTGGTATGGGTGTTAGATAACAAGAAATATTTTGGATTATAGTTGCTTAAAAATATCCTTGAATTATATACAAGAGTTCTAATGACATTACATAAAATCATTAAAATCTAAAAATTTGAATAACTAATGATTTTGTATAAGATATTATAAACTTTTAATGACATTATATAAAATCATAAAATCTAAACTTTTTAAATAACTAATGATTTTTTATAGAATTATAAAATTATTATATAAATAACATTAGATTTAGGTGAGAAAGAGAATCTATAAACCATAACACTAGAATCTAACAATTCTAAAAATCATTATAAATCTAATTCCTACTAATATTCCCTTAGCTTTTTCTCTTAATAATCATTTTAGGTTATTACAAAAGTATTAAAATACTTCAAAACAAGAGCTACGATAGACGAGCCAAAAAAGTTTTCACGAAAACAAAATTAAACATAAACACCACTACTTCAAAATACTTCGTGCTAATTCATATACAAAATCTAGAGTAACTCCTAAATTAATGACATTTAATGAGATTTACCAATAAATTAGATTTTGACCCGCCCTTTTAAGGGCGGGTATATATTTTGTTTTACATTTTATTTTAGGAATTTCATATGTATTATTTTATTTATAATCATATTTGTTTTTTCTTTGTAATTATATTTTTGTAAAATGTTTTTTAATGATTAGTAAGTAATTTTGATAATTGTATTGAACTTCTGATGTTGCAAAATTATACATTTATGCCATAGTCATTTTACATATTAATTTTATACTTTATTCCTAAACATTTATTTTTTTTATAAAAAAACAGAAGTATAATTAAATTTTTGTTTGGTAATCAAATAGGAATTAAATAGATAAAATGATATGTTTTAATTATTTTTTCATGATTTAATTTCATATATAATAAAAATAAAGTTTACACATATTAATACACAGAATTTTTTTTCATGCAATGAAAAATGATATTTGTAAATTTTGACCTAATGTAAATAAAAATCATGTTACCATTGTAATAAAAAAAAAAAAAAGGAACCAGTTATATAAGTTATTAAAGTGGTGGTTACAAAATAAATTAGTGAATTCCAATCATTATGGAAGTAATGGTTACAAATTTGTTGGACTAAACATATATCAATAGATCATAATCTTGATTTGACAAAATATATGATATAATTAGATTTATTTTTTGTTGCATAATTTAAATGAGTATCCTTATTCGAATCGAACCCGTGATTATCCAACTAAATCCAAACTAAAATTTATAAATATCAAGATAGAGTTTTAACCTTCATCTAAAAACCAATATCTGAATTGTCAGAGCCGAACCTAAATTCTTACCCATACATATAGATAGTCTATACGTTGAATAGAGTAATATAGGCTATAACTTCCGCTTTAAACATACTTGATTAATTATTCATAGTATGATGAATTAGACAGTGTAAATTCATTAAACCTATGCTATCTAATCAAGCATACACTTAACATCAAACGGTCATATAAGATATAGTAAATAATAAGGTACATGAACAATGCAAAAATGTATTGTGGCCGTAACCGTAATTAATGGCATAACCGTAATTTTTCTTATCGTCTTCCCCATTCGAATTAGGTTACGCAGAACACTTTTACAGCCCCCATTATTTTTCTTATATAATCCATCCATTATTATGCGTATTCGTTATTTTTACGTTAAAACTTGCAGATTTGACATATAATACCGGATTTTAACCTATAGAAACCCAAAAAAAGTAAAAAAAAAAAAAAATTGATGATTTCAATTTAGTGGCCGATTATGGTAAGTCACCATGAATCTCATAAACTGTTTACACACTTCTATTTGCAGGTTCGATTGAGATTTGAAGAATAGGGCTGGATTTCTGCGTTTGAGTGTTCATCAAAAATTAAAATCAAAAATAATAATCGTACTGATTTATGTATTAATAATACTAATATAATATAGATATAGTTATATTTTAGTTATGCAGTTATATTTTAAATACAGTTGTATTTTTTTAAAGGATCCAACTAATATCAACTGGTCATGATCCAATTTTAATAGTATTGATCTTGAGATGGTTTGAAAATCATTTTGTTCAATGATTTTATTAGTATCAAATTTATGATTGTTTACCAACCAAATTTTCTTACATACTTGTTAGATTGTACTATTGGATAAATATTAAATTTATTCTTTTTGAATTTTTCTCATATATAGTCTTATTTAATAATTCTTAATAAATAGATGTCATTAGGTGATAGGTGTCATAGTAAATGTTTGATATGTCTAATTCTATCTTATATATTAAAATAGAAGTCATGATTTTTTTCATGTGTGATATTTCATTTTGGATTATCTCTTAGAAAATCATCACATTTAATTATCCTATCATTTAGTTTTGATAATAAATATAGTCAGAACTATTTCTTATTAATATCTTAATAAACCAATAATATACTATTTTTAAGGAAAATCTCAAATTTTTTTACTATGCAACATAAAGATTTTGTATTCAAGACCACTAAATTAAATATAACTAAATGTACCAACTGATTTATAAAAAAATATTTTAAGCTATTAATCTTATAATTATTAACAACATATATAATTATTTTGTAGGCCATTAACAATTTTGTAGATATCTCACTAACAAAAAAAACCATATGTTATGCAATCATAATATATGAGCATATATACA